GTGGGGTAATATCTGAGATCGATCTGATATCTGAAGATGAATCAGATATTCAGATTGGCCTTTCAGACCAAGGTGTCACTGCTGTCCGACGCATTTCCATTCGTCGAGATGGCAAGTTGATTCCCACCAAACACCTTATTTTGACATTTAATAAACCGACTTTGCCATCTGTTATTACAGCAGGTTATCTGCGCTGCCCAGTTCGCCCATATGTTCCAAATCCGCTGCGTTGCTTTAAATGCCAGCGATTTGGACATTCACAAACATCGTGCCGAGGGAAAAGCATATGCGCACAGTGCGGAACTGAAGGTCACGAGAGTACTGAGTGTACCACTACTCCGTGCTGTGTGAATTGCAAAGATGCCCATCCTGCCTACTCTCGAAAATGCCTAGCATGGCAGAGAGAGAAAGAAATCCAGCGAGTAAAAACCATTAACAACATACCATACCCGGAGGCTCGGCGAATGGTTACTCAAAGCACAGTAGTGAAACAGAAAACATTTGCTTCTGTGTTGAAATCCACAAAGTCATGTGGGGTTCAAACTGATATCTCTGTCTTCCCAAGCGAATCTCTTACTCGCCATGCGAAATGTTTAATACTCCCGTCTACACAAACACCAGAAAAGGAGATCACAAAAGGAAAAACACCCTTGCCTAAAACAGGGGTAATTACAAGAATCCTGGGTTCTAAAAAGGCTAGTAAGAACCCACTAAACAAACAGAGAGTGAAAGCAGCTCTCTCTAAATCTAAAAAATCAGAGGCTCAGTCCATGAGTGAGTTCTCTGATATCTCTGATGAAGAGAATAATATGGAGGTAACCCAACCAACGTCACCTCCAAAAGGAAAATCATCAGTTAAACTGAAGAGGGACACTTTTTCTAAGAATGCTGCCTCAAACACATAATGGATTATAAAATAATCCAATGGAACTGTCGTGGTTTTCGCAACAACTTCTCTGACATTAAACACTTGACATCATCTACCTCATCTCTCTGCGTGGCACTCCAGGAGACTCATCTGAAACCTAGAGAGGGAATTACTTTAAAAGGATTTGATCTCTACCGCAAGGATGATGATAGCCACAACCGTGCAAGTGGTGGTGTGGCTATTCTGGTTTCCAACCGCACCCCATCCTTGCCGGTACAAATAACAACAGAGCTGCAAGCTGTGGCAGTCAGAATTTCTATTGGAGTAACTGTCACGGTTTGTTCTATATACTTGCCACCAGATGTCAGAGTCAACGAAGATGAATTGGATGCTTTGGTTGAACAGTTGCCTACTCCATTTGTTTTACTAGGTGATTTCAATGGTCACAATCCAATGTGGGGCAGTCCCGACATTAACCGTCGAGGCAGGACCATTGAAAGGTTCATAGGCAATCAGCAGTTATATTTATTTAATACAGGAGAAGTGACATACTTCCATGCCCCAACAAGAACATTCACTGCCATTGATCTATCATTAGCAAGTCCAAACCTGTTTTCAGCATTTACATGGGAGGTTGGATCTAATCCACTCTCTAGCGACCACTTCCCAATATTTCTAAAATATCGAGGCAGAGAAAGCTGTGAAACAGCCCGTCCACCACGCTGGAAACTGGAAACGGCAGATTGGCCTGCATTCTCCTCTATGGCTAACATCACTGAGGAAATGGCCAATACTGCTGATATCAATGATGCAGTTGAAGTTGTCACTTCTACTATTATTCAGGCAGCGGAAAAAACAATGGGGAAAACATCAACTAGATATCCAAAGCATCCGAAACCATGGTGGAATCCGAATTGCGAGGCAGCATTTAAAGCACAAAAGAAAGCATGGGGAATTTTTAGAAGATACCCCACTGCTAGAAATTTGATAGCTTTTAAAAAAGCGAAGGCAAATGCCAGAAGAATAAGAAGGCAAAGCCAAAGGGATTCTTGGAGGAAGTATGTTTCTAGCATAACATCTTCCACTAGCTCAAAAGCAGTCTGGGATAAAATCCATAAAATCAATGGGAAATATGCTTCTCACTCTCTGTCCATGCTGGAAAAGAATGGCACAATAATCAGCAATATACAGGGTATTGCTGATATGTTGGGTGAAACATTTTCTACTTCATCTAGCAATATTATGTATTCAAGAAATTTTCAGGCTTATAAAGCCCAAAGTGAAAAACAGTGTCTAAACTTTCACTCCTCATCTAACGAGGAATATAATGTGCCATTCACCAGCATAGAACTACATACAGCGATCTCTCGCTCAGGGAATAGTGCTGTAGGCCTGGATAAAATCCACTACAGCATGATTAAAAATCTGTCAAACAATTCTCTTTCTAATCTCTTGTATCTGTTTAACAGAATATGGACGGAAAATACTTTTCCTGACTCTTGGAGACTATCAATTATTATCCCTATTCCAAAACTTAGTAAAGATCGCAAGAATTCCTTTAATTACAGACCAATCTCTCTAACAAGTTGCCTTTGTAAACTCTTTGAGAGGATGGTAAACAGACGCCTGATGTTCCTCCTAGAGGAAAAGAACTACTTTTCACCACATCAGAGTGGATTTTGTAGGAACAGAAGTACCACGGACAATTTAGTAACACTTGAAACATCCATACGCGAAGCGTTTGTTAGACGACAGCACTTAGTGTCTGTTTTCTTTGATATAGAAAAGGCCTATGATCGCTGCTGGCGTTATGGAATACTTCGTGATTTACATGAATTCGGACTGCGGGGTAATTTGCCAGTTTTTATAAAAAACTTCCTGCAGAATCGAAGATTTTAAGTTAGAATTGGCAACACACTATCCAGGTCTTTCGTCCAAGAAGAAGGGTTCCTCAAGGATGTATTTTGAGTGTGACTCTGTTCCTAATTAAAATTAACAGCATAGCTAACTGCCTTCCTCCCAGTGTGAAACACTCTCTGTATGTGGATGACTTTCAGATCTCCTGCCAGTCTAGCAACATGAGTTACATTGAGAGACAACTGCAAACTTCCCTAAATCGCATAGACAATTGGTCCAAGACCAATGGTTTTAGTTTCAATGTAGAGAAGACCTCGTGCATCCACTTTTGCCGAAAGCGTGGTTTGCACCTGGATCCCGAAATGTATTTAAATGGGGATAAAATTTTAATTGTAAATGAGGCTAAGTTTTTGGGTGTTTGTTTTGACAAAAAACTGACATTCTTGCCACACTTGCGCAACCTGAAGAGTAGATGTTTAAAATCTCTAAATTTTTTAAAGGTATTACGCTGCTCATCCTGGGGAGCAGACAAAGTTTCTATGCTCAGGATTTATAGGGCCCTTGTTCGCTCTAAACTGGACTACGGATGCATTGTTTATGGCTCTGCGCAAGAATGTACTCTTCAGATGCTGGATCCAATCCATCATCAAGCTTTGCGTTTGTGCACTGGTGCATTTCGAACTTCCCCTGTCCAAAGTCTGTATGTGGATGCTTATGAGACTCCACTGTCTCTCAGGAGAGAACAGTTGTCTCTTTTTTATTATTTAAAACAGAAATCTTATATTAAACCTTCAGTTGATTGTACAGTATCAGATACTCAGCTGAAAAGGTTATTTGAAGCTCGCCGAAGTAGTGTCCCTATGTTCGTCATAAGAATGGAGAATGTAAGCAACACGATTGACCTGAACATAAGCAATGTTTCACAGGTCGAGATTGATAGTACACCATTCTGGTCTACTCCTGTGATAAATATTGACTTTAGCTTAAAGCAGTTCCCTAAGGAATCCACACCAGACTACGTCTATAAACAGCACTTTGCAGAAATCCAACACAATGACAGGAATTTAATTCCCATTTACACTGACGGTTCTAAATCGGATGATTATGTTTGCTCAGCCTTTGTCTGCCAGGATGAAATCGTGGCAGAGCAAATCACATCGAATTCATCTATTTTTACTGCAGAGCTGCATGCTATCCACTTAGCCTTAAACTATGTAATCAGAAAAGGTCATTGTCGCTGTGTGATTTACACTGACTCAGTTAGTGCACTCCAGGCTTTGATCTCGTGTGAACGTAGTTCTCACTCTATAATGATTAAAATTCGTAAATTGTTTTGCCATCTTCTTGCAAGGAATTTATCTATAAAATTTTGTAGAGTTTCAGACCATGTCGGAATAACAGGAAATGAAGAAGCAGATGCAGCTGCAAAATTAGCAAGCCCTCCTCTGAATACAATGCGTATTGAAGGGAGTGATTTCAATCTAGTCATTAAAAAACGACTAGCAGAGAGATGGCAAAATGTGTGGAACGCACAAGTCCACAATAAACTGCATGAGATCAAACCTACGATAGAAAATTGGACACACAAGAAATTTTATAACAGGAGATTTGAAGTTATTATTACTCGTTTGAGAATTGGACATACTATGTTGACTCATCAATACCTTCTGGAAGGTATTGATGAGTCAACATAGGTGACGGGAAGGCAGGTGACGGGCAGCCAGTATGCCAGTATTGCAGGGTGACGGGCAGCCAGTATGCCAGTATTGCAACTGTTTTTTTGCTGTAAAACACATATTGCTCGATTGCTTTGTTTTTGAGACAAGGCGTAGGCAGCATTTTGGAAATGCAAGTTTTAAACAGATTCCGGGTCAGAGGCCCAATCTTTATGATATATTAGACTTTTTAAAAGTCACTAATTTGTGTAAAGAAATTTAATTATTTATTTATATATTTATTTATTCATCTTTTAGCTTTTTGTTCGTTCTTGTTTGTTATTAATATGTATATATTTGTTTTTCTTTGTTGTTGTTTATTTATATATTTATTTATTTATCTTTGTCATATGTTTGTTACTTGTGATGTTTATAATTATTTACTATTTGTTATGGTGCAGCTTAGCCTATATGGCTCTTGTGCCAAAAAACCAATATTAACCAACCAACCAGTTATTTTAGATTTCCTAAAGATCCAATAATAAGAAGAAAATGGATCCATAACTGTAAAAGAAAAGACAAATTTAATCCTGATTCTTGTCATGTTCGCTCTGCTCATTTCACAGAAAATGATTTTGAGAGAAATTTAAAAGCTGAATTATTAGGTTTATTGGCAAGAAAACTTCACTACCAATAGTAAATTTAGGAAACATAGAAAATAAAAATATTAAGCAGTCAAATGAAAGAAAGGATCATGTATTAAAAAGAAATAGAAAAAACCTGATAGAAAAACTTTTAGATGTAAATAAACAGGATAAAGGAGAAGAATCTCTTAACAAATGTAACAATTGTAAAACTTTAGAAGATCTTAATTTTATATTAAAACATGAAAATTCTATTTTAAATATGAAGATTAAACAGATTGAGATAAGAATGCAAGCAATCCAAAGAAATCTGAAATTTTGGAAAAGTAAGTGTCATCATTCAAAAAGAACATGAAAAATTTAAAAAAATAAAAAAAAAATTTGTTATATCAATATTGAAAGGCACCTATACAGAAACACTACTATATAATCTGCTGGAGATAAAAAAGAAAATTAAATGGAAGAAAGAAGATATGAATTTGGCATTTACTTTGAGATATTTAAGCATAAGATCATATTTATACTTAAGAAATCAAATGAATATCCTGTTACCTGCAGTTTCGACACTTCAACGATGGGCTTCAAAAATAAATCTTTGTCAAGGCATATTAAATGATGTTATAAACATCATGAAAATTAAAGGCTTTGAACTTTCAGAAGAAGAAAAACTTACAGTTCTTCAGTTTGATGAGATGAAGGTAAATACTGTATATACTGTACTCATATTGATAAAACCACATAATTCAATAATTATTTTAATTTTCTGTTTTAACATTTTACTGATATTTCAGGTAAAGCATATATATGAATATGATAAAGTGAGGGATAAAGTTATTGGACCCAATAATCAAGTTTTAGTAATGATGGCAAGAGGACTATTT